TTTTAGTTTTTTCTGTGTTGACTGATAGTCTCCATTGTTTTGTGTAGGTGGATAAGTTATCTAAACAATTTTGTAAGCCGGTCTTATTTTCTGATAAAATCACTATATCATCGGCAAATAGAAGACTGCTAATTTTACTATCTTTTATTGTTACACTCCTTTGTTGTTTTGGTGTGATCGCTATGGTACGGGTACTTTGTGATTATTGTTTTAAGAATGACAAGGTTATCGGTTGTGCGGCAGCCTTTTTTTAAATCCAAACTGGTTATTAGAAAGAATGTTGTTTTTGTCCAGAAATCCTGTTATTCTTTCGTTGAGTATACTTGAGAAAAGTTACCCGAGACAGCTCGATATTGCTATGTCCCTATAGTTTGCAGGGTTTGATTTCGCACCGGATTTAAAAATTGGAACTATTAAACCAGAACTCCAAGATTTTGGAAATATGCTTTTGTTATATATTATATTAAACAATTTATGTACTGCGTTTAACAGATAAGGTTGGGCATTTTTTATTATTTCATTCGAGATCCTATCTTCTGCTGACGCCTTGTTATTTTTTAACTGTTCGGTCGCTTTTATAATTTCGCTTTTTAGAATTGGTCTATTGAGTTCAGTGTTATTATCCAAATGGTGTTCCACTCGATATATTTCAGAATTTATTTCATCGTCTAAATCAATTTTATTTATGTTATACTCAGAGGATGGATTTAGTAGTTTATTAATATAAGATAACCATTCGTTAGGCGCTACCGAGTCATTAGTGTTATCAGTGTTATGCGTATTTTCATTACCCATTTGGCGCAGCATGAGTCTGCGAAGTCGGTTGCGAAGCAACGCGAGAAGTAGGTGGAGATTCAGACGTAGATGTTGTAATCACTTTACAGAGTGATGTGTGATGTCTCTTCTTACAAATGCGACAGCTGAATTTCGATTTACAATCACTTGCCCTATGTTTACCTAGGCAATTGAAGCAGAGTTTGTCGCGTTTTGCTATTTCGTATCGTTGGTCAGCATTTGTTACAGTACGGCAGTCGTTGGGCGATTGTGAGTCCTTACAGTAAACGCATAGTTTCGGTTGACGGTACTCAGTAGCGCGACTTCCTGTATAGAATGCGGCTGTCACGGGAGGTGCTGAGGGGAGTTCGCGTTCGTTGAAATGAACAGGGAGTATCGAACCAGCTTA